GTATTTTAACGTCAGATAAATTTTCTAATGCTGTAAGTAGGGATGTCCCGATACCACAAAAGTATCTATATCGGTATCGGTCTTAAAGTATCGATACCGGCCAGTATCGACATCGGCTGTAAATATTGCCGGATGTCATTGTTCACTCTGTCATGTCACCTTCCGGATGTTTTTACTGCTGAAAAGGCACATTGTGCATCTTTTTGCGTGGTGAATACGTTCTAAAGAACACCGTGTAAAAAAATCTCATAAAAAATATATTGTACTCGTACATGATACATGAATCCCGTAGAAAAATGTTCGATAGGATACACAACTTCGATGGAACGAAAAAATAATCAATTTACAAAAGAAACACGAGCTTTTTTTATTCTAACATCGTTTATCGTTAACATTAGGCCCATCAGTGGCCAAGCAGTTCCGTTCTGTGAACACTGGGAGTTAAGTCATGGATTCACGCCTTGCCAGGACAGGCTGGCCACGTACGGTTTTCCGGGTTTTCTCCACCTCTGTAACGCCTGAATAGGGACCTTAAAAAGTCTTCCCGGAAGGCATCCCCCTAGGCAGATCGCCTAAATGTTGCGTTGCCGTACTTAATAAAACAAACAAACAAACGTTAACATTATTTATACGTAACTATAGTAAACTCAAGGTAGCGTAGGAAACAAAATCGGCATACAACATTCTCCGACGTACCGTACATTGTGTAGGCTACTGTACTGTGCTTTAAAAGATAAATTAACTCTTGGCTTTAACAAAAAAGTAACTTTTTTAAAACAATAACACAATTTCAACGAAAAATTAAATATAAAACTTTTCAAATAAACTGTTTTCCCCATGTAAAAAAATCGATCGCATAAAAAAGGATTAGTTTTGTTTTGTCGACCACATTATTTCAAAATCGCGTAAAATTAGTGTACTGTACTCGTTACAATGAAGACCCCAGAGCAAAAATTTATAGTTTGTTACTAATATCTAGTTTAGAAGTCAGTACGTCAATCAGTAGCCTACTTCAGTTTAAACTCGCAAGATGTCTTATTTTGACAAAAGAAGCCCCAGATGTAGTCCTGTTAAATTGGCTCTGTGCTACTATTATACACGGGATAGGAGTAGATAAGAAATCGTTGGTTGAAAAGGTAAAACAGTGTCTTTACATTGACAGTTCTTTATTGTATTCAGATTTTACAAATATCGCTGAAAACAAGTAGGCCTACTGTATATGCAAATTTTAGCTCATTTTAAATATGCAAGTTGATTAACAAACAAAAGTACTGCATAATGTTAAACTAAATATTTATTTATAAATAGTAATCAAAACTGCAAGCATATATAGACTCTGGAAATGAAGTTTGACGTAGGCCTAATACATTTATTGATTTTTGGTAGTTAATATTTTGTTATATGTTTAGCTTAACCGAAAATAGTGTAAAATTTCATTTCGGTTTCTGATTCATCTTCAAAATCTGGTTCCGGTCGGAGCTTACTTGTTTGTGAAAAATGTAGGGATTCCAGATCAGATACCGGAGGAAAGGTATCGATAATGGTATCGGTATCGAAAGTATCGGGACGTCCCTTTTGGAAGTATATTTTGTATATAACATGACAAACGACACCTGTCGTCTTATTTTTGCTGAATAAGTTGCCGTATTTCCAATTCTAATCCGATTTATTTCATAGATATAAAACGTCGTTTAATCGTATCTATTCACGATGTAAAGATTTACACCATGTTTTCATTGCGATTTAGATCTGCCTAAATTAGTCTAACGAATAAATGCAATAAAATCTAACTAAAATGTAAGTATATCAGAACACTATTAGGCTAATAACATATGCTCCATCCTGTATCGTATGTCCTGATGGAGAAGCACTAAATTTTTAACAAATTGTATTTGAGAGTTTGATAGTGGAATAAATTGCGCATACTATTTATGTATGCAAAACAATAAACATGATATTTGGTCCCAGATTGATAGCTCTGGATGCACTGGGAACGGTTGGAGACGGTATCGAATGGTGTCCATACAGCCCCAACTTAAACCCTTTAGACTTTGCAGTATTGGAGACAACTACAGATAGTTTGCCTTTTCACTGGAGAATTTTTGAAAAAAAAGGAAAGTTTTTATATTCTTCTCGAATTTGATCCTTGTCTCTTTATCTATTATCAGGCAAAAATAAATATATTATACTCGTATATATTAATTAATTTATTAAAAGTTTAATATAATAATTCCTGTAGTAGCCCTTGGTATCATTGCTGCTAGTTTTTGCCATAGTCGTTCCAGTTTTACTTTCAAATCCCTCGAGCATTATTATTATTCGTTAGCTAGTTTTAAAATAAAACTAATAATATAATGATGATTCTAAGTCTAATTTTATTATCTGAATTTTCATCCTTTATTTTAATTTTCTCTTGACAGAAATTGTAAAAAGTTTTATATCACTATGAATAAATTAGTAAATATATCACAAGAGAATAATTGGTTTTAACGCGAATCGCTAATTTAAATCTTAAAAATTGTTCAGAATAATGTAAAAATATTCTAATTCTTAACATGGGAGCAAAAAGGGTGCAAAGAGAACGTCATATGAAATTAATATTAAATATTACACTATACGCTTAATCTTTACTTGTAAACTGTACAAACATAAACCCTATAGAAAATGAGATTTAATTTTTGTTTTTTTACAATTTCAGTCATGAATATCATTAGTGGATCCTTAGTTAAGAGAGACAAATCTCAAATTCAGGTAAATGACGCTTTAGCAGATGCGGAAATAATAGGTTTCTATTTTTCTGCTCATTGGTGCGGACCTTGTCGTGGGTTCACTCCCCTCCTGGTTTCCGCTTACGAAGAAATGAAAAAATTAAACTATAAATTCGAAGTCGTTTTTGTATCATTTGACGAGAATGAGGAATCTTTATTTGATTATATGAAAGAAAGCCACGGTGATTGGTACGCTCTTCCCTACGGTTCTACAGATACCGAGTAAGTCAATTCTTTTGTAAAATATATATATAGACTATTTATATAAAACAATGAAACATTAATTATTTATCTCATAACATAGGAAATTAAAAAAACAATTTAACATCGAAGGCATTCCAACATTAATCATTCTCAAGAAAGATGGAACTTTAGTAAACGACGACGGCGTAGACGATATTGAAGCCAAAGGAGCAGAAGCTTATAAAGACTGGATTAAATGAATATCGTAAACTTTATTAACGGAAATTATAAATTACATAAATAAATCGAGAAATATTATCTTTCAATACCTTCTGTTTAATAAAAATATTTTTAAATTCCATGTGTATTGTGTCAACAAAAAACATCCTAAGATCCATAATAGATCATAAGTTACTCTTTTCAATGTATTTCAAAATATCTGGTTCGATATCCTACAAAAAGCATAATATTAGTCGAAATACTTATTATTACTGCTAATATCAATCATAATTAATTCTTACCAGTGGTTGGTAATTAGGTGGATAACGAGCAACCGGTTGTCCATTTTTATCCACCAGAAATTTTGTGAAATTCCATTTAATAGAACTGAAAAAGAATGTATAAATTAAAACTTATTTTAAACAATTGCTTCTGTATTTAAGACCTACTTACTTGATACCCTGTTTAAACTTCAAATATTTCCAAAGAGGATGAGCATCGTCTCCATTAACATCAATCTTACTAAACATATCAAATTGGATATTATATTTTTTTATAAATTCTTTAATATAGGATTCATTCTCCGGTTCCTATAAATAAATCGTAATGTAAATTATTTGTTTTTATTTATTTACCAAATCGACCTAATTACAGGTCTGTTTAGTATACAAAGAATATACAGTAATATAAAAATTAAAACATAAGTTTGTATACATGCATACAAAACATTTGAATTGAATTTAAATGTAAGGACAATTTTCATATTAATTTTAACGTTCATTATTAAATATCTTGAGCAGTCAGTGACTACCAAAACTGTCGCTTAGAAATGAACAAATCTAGTCGCCGTCCAAAGTGATTATAAAGTACTGCAAGTTTATGAACAGATATATTTTGAGTAATATTAGATTTATACCAAGGAAATCTAAAGTAGTTCCTAAGTAGATAAAGGTACTTGAAGATGTAATTGTTCTAACAAAGCAGCAGCTTCGATTTCAGATTGTAACAAAGACCTTAAAAATTACCAACATTGAATACAGCATTACAAAGTTCATTAAAGGTGGTAAATACATTTCAGCCTTTTCTTGATTTAACATAAATTTCCTTCTACAATATCTTCTAATACGGTTATTAACTGATTATACTCTATGTTTAATTGTCATCAGTCGTGTATTACAAATCACTAGCGCAAATATTGATAAAATCTTCGAATAAACAAGAGCTAAATACAAATTTTTAGTACATTTATTTTCGGACATAGTCTCAAAAATCTAAAAATTATTCCTAACGTTGTAGGTATCTTTTCCACATGCACTGTAAAAGAAAATCTAGTATCATAATATACCCGTAGGTCTCTAATATTCTCAACTCTGGATACTTCATATCCTGGTATGTAGTAAACTGCAAAAATCTGTGAATGTAACTTGACAACCTCATTATATTACACTTCTTATAATTCACACTCCAACAATGAAGTTTCAGCCAGTCATTTAAACTATCAAGAGCCCTCTGGCTCTTGATAGTTTAAATGACTGGCTGAAAATTTTTACATCTTGCATCGTTTATATAACTTTAAGTCATGAGACAGATACCTGCCTAACAGCTTGGTCAGATCATTTATATATATGATAAACGAAAGCGACCCTAACTGAGAACCTTGCGGAACTACAAAGCTGGAATGTTTTCGAAAAATACGTCATAATTGCAGAACTGAGAGGTGACAGAGATATGCAAATGATTAAGTCTACATACACATCGGGTCATGTGGTGCCCAGTTTCGGACTATAGGGGAATGAGGCTCAGCGGGTAACGGGACCCACCTGTTTTTGGCTAAACGGTTCAGAATTTTCAATTCCAACAGATACTTAGCAGTTGCAGAGCCAACTTCGAATTCTAGATATGATGGCTGTTCTGTGCATATGCTTGATTGTTGGGAAAAAACAGTTTTGTGCATCTTTCTTCTAATTAGAACACTATCATTTGTTCGACTGTAAGTACACTTGTATATGACTTATTGTTTCAATAATATATATTAATGCTAACTATTCTCTCAACTATTAAAATACATATGAAGAAAAGATTTCACTTTATTCCTTTGTATCTAATCAAGGTTAGAAACATGGGGTGATGGGGCTCAACGAGAATCAAATGATAATGAAGACGATGGCATAGATGCAAGCAATGGTAATAATACCTGCATCATCTATAGAGAATTTGCTGGAAACAAAGAATTGTGGTACAGATGTACTGTCTGTACTGCTTTTTTTAAACTCTTTCAGCCCTGTGGGCACTAAGAGGGCCTATTTTTGCAAGCCCATTATGGGTTCGGCCAGGTCCACAATGGGGTAACCTGATGGTGAGGGCCGGGGCCCGATCTATCCGAACGGACCACCCCCCTGAAAAATTCCTGGGGATTATTTGACCCGTCTGGATTCGAGCCCGGGTCCCCCGGAGCGGTAGGCTGCAACCTTGACCGCTCAGCCATCCGGCCTTGTTTGTACTACTTGGGCACATTCTGAATGTAGTGGGTTTGATTCTCCAGATGATTACATTTGTGATTATTGTATTGAGTGATTAAAGTTTTTAATTTAAAGTGCTTGAACTTATCATTAAACACACAAACTATTTTGAAAACAATACATATACAGGGTGTCTCAGTTAAACGTTTCAGAACTTCTAAGAGGGGTAGGGTGCATCCCGACGACTCGAAATCATATAGCAATGCAGGATCGGTAATGCTTTCCTGAAGCGGCGATGTAGTACTGTACAGTACACAGAAACATCACAAAGAAGACCGTAAGTGAATATTCGTTTTAATAATAAATGTACAAAAACAAAAGGAACATGGGTCAAAGAAAGCGTTCGAAGTTTCTTCCAATGACTGCAATGCAGACCTCACATCTACGACACATGGAATTCCGAACATTCTGGAACATCCAGGCTCATCTCGAATTTCTCCGGCAGCTACTGAGATTCTTGCAACCGGCTCCTCAGAATTGTCAAAGGGGGTGTCATAAACCAGTGTTTTCATATGCCCCCAGAAATAAAAATCAAGACATGATAGGTCTGGTGACCCAGCAGGCCAACGCACGAGACCACCACGTCCGATCCACTGTTGCCAAATGTGACGTCTACAACGCCATCTGCCGCGTCAGGAAAGCATTTCCGACCCCACATTGCTTTATGATTCCGAGTCGTCGGGATTAGGGTTTCTCAAACGGGATTCCGGGATCCCGGTTGTTTTTTTAACCCGGGAAATATCCCGGGAAATTTTTCTTATCCCGGGAAATCCCGCAAATTTCTTAAAAATTCACTTTTTTTCTTATTTTGTGTTAAGGTTGAGGAATTTTGCTAATAGAAAGCATAATTAACTCATAAACTGTCAGAATACATTTGTATTTATCAATTTTAAACCTACTTATTAGTTTCTTAAGTTTTTGCTCATTATAGCATGTCACAAATGGTCAATACATAGCTTACTTGTGTCATGACTCTCAAAATTCTTTACTTGTTGGAACCTGTAATATATGAAATAATAGTGCTTATGCTGTCTTAATTTTTAACCATGCCCAATAGCTTCGATAACGCGTAACACCATGTTGTACGATGTCTGTATGTACGAAGTTTTTCTTCATAAACCTGATGATCAAAGACAAACTAACTGACGAATTATTGGGCTATAAGCTTGATGTTTCTATTAAAGCAGTCGAAGTAGACAAATGAAGAATACTAGAGAGCAAAAGAAGTATTACAACCTCGAAAACGAACTCGAAATCTTCCAGGCTACAGGTGAAAAAACACATAATATCTGTCTTCTCTTAAATGCATTAAACACTATTCCAATCACATCAATTGAATCGGAAAGGGCATTCTCGGTGGCAAGACTTTTCATTACTAAAATAAGAATTAGAGTGAGTTATCGGAGTATTGACCATCTTTGCTTTTTAAAATCTTATAAAAGTTTGCAATATTTTGTATTATATTTTATTTAAAAAACGAAAATTACCTTCTAAATTAGAAGTTCATTTTTTTTAATTTTTAACTCAACTCAAAACATTTTTTTTTTTGTTGTTGTATGCAGTTTTCAGCAAACTTTAATTAATTTTTTTCTATTTGTGAAAATTTCTACGTTATTTAAAGGTAATTTTTATTATAGGCCTATAGACCTAACACAGCATTATTAATATGATTTTGGAGGTTACAGAACTTTAAAATTACTTTAAAAAATGGAAAATAATTATATCATTTGATTTCAAGATATTTTGTATACCTTAAAAATAATTAATTCTATCCCGGGATTTCCCGGGATCCCGGGAAACAGTTCACTTTTATTCCGGGATCCCGGGACAAGCAAAAGACCGGGAAATGAGAAACCCTAGTCGGGATGCACCCTACCCATCTTAGAAGTTCTGAAACGTTTAACTGAGACACCCTGTATAAAAAATTAATTCATATGCAAAAATTTAAGTTTTCTAGTTTTTTTATAAATCTGTAATAAAATACGTAATACGGGTATAATAATATATTAATTTTAATTAATTCAAAGTACGTTAAAATAAGAAAATAATGGCCCAATATGTATTTATATTTTAGATAATATAAGAGAAGCGGCGCTTTCACAGCTTCCATGGACGGCACGCCACTGGTGGGCCCCAATCATCTACTTCCCCCAAAGACCAACAGCCGGCTCGGGCCGTAATTGCTATCAGCGATGATTCGCGGCAGCCGAACTTTCGAAGAAGGATAGAAAATGCCTCTTCGAAATTGAAGACTGAACTGACGAATCATTAGCGAGATGAACTATTATCAAATATTTATTTTTTGCTTAAATTTTTATATCTTGTTAAATATATTGTAAAAGCTGGAATGTTTTCGAAAGATATGTAGCTACGTGCATTCCTTCGTAATGTTGCAATTTCACTTTTGAGGAGTGTATCATAGTAATTTCATAGTTGACATTCTGTTAAACTATTAAATATAAGATACTTATTTAATATTATCACATTTTTTATATGAAACATTATTGTCTTTATAAATTATACATGACTTATTATAGAAATTATAGCTTTAAAGCAAGTTTACTTACAGATATTAATAAAATCACATTTAACCTCAAAGATACCTAAAAGAGCTTTCCATAAGAACCTGCAGTTTTATTTCTACTGGTGTTTATTTATGAAAACTCCTACCAATGGCCGAGTGGATAAAGACATTGAAAACTGGTAACAAAAGGTAACTGAAAACTGGTAATAAAAGAAAGTTTTGTTTTCAACTGCACTGATTGCATAACTAGCGCTTACTGTCTCTCCACGTATCCTTGAAGTTATTTTGCCAACTTGTTTTTCTGCTCTGCATACTATTATCATTTTTGGCTTATGAACATTTGAAAGTTCAGTCTTATTAATGTTCCAAATTGCCTCTGTAAGCTCAACGAAAACCAGGATGACTTTAATCCCACGTCAAAGATAGCTGGTCGCGGATTTGCGCCTGACCAACGAGCTAGCCACGTGGAGTTTTCCAGATTTTCTTCGCGTGTCTGATACCTAAATAGGAGCCAGTTTCTCATACAAAGTCCTCCTGAGAGGCCCTTTCCCTTGACACATCGCCTTTGTATTACGTTGCCTTATTTTCACCAATCCAATCAATCGAATACAATTGATAAGCTGAACGGAAAATATAGTTTTTATATAAAATTACGTTAAGTTTTGCAACGTAATCGTCATAAGAAATAACTTTGGAATATAGATTTTTTTTTTCTAATCAAGATAATTACCAAATAAAATTTTGAACATTGAAACTAAATCTTCAAAATGGTCGATGAACTTTGTAATCGTGAAGATTACCTAAAATGTAGGTTTTCTAAATTTTCGTTTTGCTAAAATACTGAACTTATAAATATAATAAAAATCAGTTATTACAAAAAGTTTAAAGTTTGTGTTTATTCTTTATGCATTTTGAAATATTGTTATGTAATTACAACCAAACATCTTGCATTGGTAAATGTGTGATACATAAGAAGAGTCATCTGAACGCTACAATGGAGATATCCAACGTCATATACGTTGGATAGCTCCATTGTAATTACGACCAAACATCTTGCATTGGTAAATGTGTGATACATAAGAAGAGTCATCTGAACGCTACAATGGAGATATCCAACGTCATATACGTTGGATAGCTCCATTCATCTGACGAGAGCAAAAATGCCAAAACATATAGTAAATCTTGAATAAATTGTTTATGTACTGTACAGTTGTGAGTTTTTCGGCAAGATGAAAACATAGAAAACGTACATTTTAGGTAACCTTCACGATTAATTTATTGAAATTAGATGTCAATACGATCGAACCTCTAATAACGATCATCTCTAAACAGTGGCTATTTTTTCGGAATCTTTTGTTTTTTGCAAAACTTACAAAATAATCTGCAAACAGCCATCACATCCGAACAATGATCATGTTTTATCTTCCTGTCAGTGGCCATTAGATAAATAGTTATATAAATTATATGCTTACAATTATTTAAGTGCAGTTTTAACAAAAATAATAATAGCAGCATTGTCAACTTTGTGTAACTGTTATAGCGTCCTCCTAATTAGCACCAAACTCGTGAAGTTCCAACGAATACTTGCAAATGAATCGTCTTCATAAATATTAAATAGAGAATTCTTTAGTATCTATAAATTACTATACAGACTATACACAGTATATAAGATTTTGCATCGCACATACATATGTATAGTAAATATACAGTATATATGGCATTGTTATCACCAAATTTCACAACTTTAAGCTTGTACACTTTGTAGGTCTCATTATTAGAATACATATAATTCTTATTGTTTGCGATCCTTCTGTTTAGTGCCAATTTCAGAGGCGAACAAATGATGGCGTTAAATCAAGGTTTGACTTTATATTAATGAAGATAAATTCAATACGGGTATTTAAGCAATTTTTAATATATTTTATGAATCTTCCGAAAATATGTCAACTCTACTTATAATAATTCAGTGATCTCCAAACTTTTTTAATCGCGTACCCCTAAGACAAAAATAATTATAAGTTGTACCCCCTATAATATAATATATTGTATTACATTAAGGAAACTTGGCCCAAGTGGAGATCACAGCACTAATGTCGTGTAGGCTTAACGGTTGGCGGAGACAAAGCAATTTTGTCTTTTGCTCAGGCGATTCGGTTTTTCCGCAGGGGGTCAGCATAATGGGGCATAATATCACACCGGGATCACGTCTGAGGCGGATCTGACCCTGCTCCGGATTAAACCGGCTCAACTCTTTTCTCTTGTTCCATCGGAAATTTTCAACTTTTATGTAACTATTTCAAATACGTTTTTTAGTCGTGTCAAGCAACTCACCGACGTTATGTTTCATACGCAGTTCCCTCAGTGGAGACTGGACAAAATCTCAAACGCGGCTGCTTTTAACGAGGACTCCAATTTAAGACTTTTCCCAAGACTTTTCCCGTTTAAATGCCAGCTGATTTTATTTTATTATTCTTTTCTTTATTTTTTCGTTTACTTTCATTTAATTTCTTTATTACACTTCTCTTTTATATCTGACTTTTCATCATATTTTTTTTCTTTTCTCAACAATAAATCACTTATAATCTTTCATTTGTAACATATCAGTGCTCAAACTGTTCGCCCAGGCTAATTACATCTATAAACATCGTCTCGAGTTTCTTGACGTCACGACGAATTGCTAAGAATTGAAAACCCCAATTTATTTGCTTTATTCTGTTAACAACGCTTAATCATTTGTCTATATTGTAAATGCTATAAGTTAAATTATAAAAAGCATATAAGAGTTATTGTTCAATTTTAAACATAATAATTATATTTAAAATATAACCGTAATTCTTGTGTCTTACCTGATTTGCAAACTGATTGCATGGGAAACACAAAATTTGCAGACCGTGAGTTCTGTTATATTTCTCGTATAATGCTTGCAGTTGAATATAATTTGTGGGAGTGAATGCGCAATTAGATGCAGAATTAACAATTAAAACAACACGGCCCCTACAATAGAAATTAATGAAATAAAATGAGATATGCAAAAAGTTTTTAAATTTAAGACAACATGCAAACCTATATTTTTCCAATAAAACTTCATTTCCATTGATATCCACAGCAATAAATTCATATATCGATTTTGCATTTTTCCAATTATCCTCGGCGGCCTAGTATTAGATAAATATTTCGTAATTTACCTTAAAACAATATCATTATAATACGTTTCATAATGACGAATAAATACAGTTCTGAAACTCCAAATTAACATTAATCATAATTAATTTATCATATAATTGTAATTTTTCTATGATAATATTTAAGAATATATTAACCAAATATCTTACTAATGGGAATTACCTTTAGCTGGAATGGAGCTTTTCAACGCCATTTTAAAGTACTTACTGCAAAAATTAACTCGCTTATCGACAATACTAAAAATATCTGATATAAAACTTCACATAAAAATTTTCAACGCTATAATTCTTGCTTTCATTTTTTATGCCAGCCCTGTATGGCCTCTTGATTTTATTTTACAAATTCGAAAAATTTCATATTAATTATCTACGGAAATTATTCAAGCTTGAGAGAACTGTGCCAGGTTATTCTGTTAGAGCAGAAACAAATAGAATTCAACTATTTCCTTGCTTTTTAAAAAGATTAATAAGATTCTATTACCGACTTATAAATACAGATGATAATATAAAATTTTTACACCAAAATATGTATCAATCTGAATACTATGATACTCTTCTTGTCTAGTCTTCTGAATGGCTTGTGAGCACTAAGATTGGCTTTACCGCTAGACTTATTACACCACCACAGGACATTAAATTAGATTTAGAAAAACACTATTTTATTTTTAGAATGTATTTCGGACATGGAGTCCCTCGTCAGCTTTTTGTTACAAAAAATAATAGGAGGTTAACAATTTTTATAAAAAGACCGTGGTTGACAGAAATGAACAAAGAATGTGGACTTACATTTGACATGTGGATTCGATGTATGACCGTAGGGTCGGTGTCTCTTTGACACTACGTCAGGATGTGACACCACCGAATCTCGCAGGATTCGGAAATCGCGACTTTACGTCACGCGAGCGGTAGCGGTAGCGGTTGAGCGGTTGGATTTGGAGAGGTGAGGAGAGAGACGAGGAAGTGATTCACTCGGATTCCATATTAACTAACAATAACAATTTTAATTATAACAAAAGAAAATACAGATATACTCGATATCAAGCATGACTAACGTTCCCCTTAATTATTACTAGCCCGTTCAAGAGAGAGAGTTTACAAACGAATCTCGTGTTGATAAATACCTTGTAACTGAGTCGAAGATCTGTTAGTTATAAGATGACTGGATAAACCGTCGATGGAATGTTCGAGGTTCGATGAAATTGTTCTGGGTCTTGTTCGGTAACATAAACACTGCGGTGTGGAGGCACTGAGGTTTGGATATGTGTCAGATATCCTTAAAGAGGCACGGTCTTTTTCACGGTATTAATTCTTGAGGAGACGACTTCTGAGGACCACTCTTGAATTCTTGGGTTCCTTCTGGGTTTTTTCCACGAGGTCAGGAAGTTGCTGTTAAGGACCTAGCGTCCAATACTGGAATTTTATCGAACGTTCCGGGTGACGCATTAATGACTAGATTGATCCTCCTCAACAAGGAACCAAATCCGTGGAAAATAATTTTTATGGATTTTAGCCTAACTTGATAAAACGATCGAAGTTAGACGATGGAATTTCAAAATAATTAAAATTTAAAATAACACTTTATTGAGGGTCTGTTCGTCCCTCACAGATGCGTTGAACATTAATTAAAAGACTAAGCACGCGATAAAACAAAATTTCCCATTAAAACATGATAATGTTGATACAATAACATAATAATAAACTGAGGTTCTGGTAAAACAGTAAAGTCGTAAAAATACACATTGTTAAAACAAAATGATAAGTAGATTCACAGTAACACAACAGAGTAACAAGATGATTCGAAGGACATTCCAGGGTAATCGTCACCCTCACCCCTATCCATTTTCACACCTCTCCCCTCCCCCCACGTCCTTTCTGGTCAAATATGCGTACCACGATTCGTATAATTTTTGGCCGGAGTTGTTATTCATGATTTCCTCTTTGTTTTTTATTACTTCTAAGTGTTCGTACCATCTTCTTTTATAAGTATTTTTTTTCCTTTTTAAATACTGTATTTTGACAGTATCCTTTACAATCTGACAGCCTTCATTATTACAGTGGGCAGCTACAGCCGAGCTATCATTGTTGTGTGCTATGGCAGAGATATGTTCATTGAAACGGACCTTTAATTCCTTAATAGTTTCACCAATGTAAGATTTTGGTGTGGTACAGTCGCATTCAAATTTGTAAACAACGTTTTTTTGGTCCCATATGTTAGCTTTTCTGTTAAGTACGTTTATTTTCTTATGTAAGCTGTTGCGATGTGCCAATCTTAGTGCTCACAAGCCATGTATCAATCTAATGTTCTAAATTCCACCAAAGATACATGGCAATACAAATTTAATAATATACTTCAAACATATGGAATCTCAAGTGTTTTATTAGATAAATCTGACATAAATTGGAATAACGCCTATACACTACTGATGGAATCGGCCATATCGCAATTAATAACCCAGGATCAAAACTCAATACTGTATTGCAATTGGCTTATCGCCAGAGCCGGCCCTACCATAGGGCGAACGGAGCAGCCGCTCCAGGCGCTAAGTCCTAAGTGGCGCCTCAGTGGTAAAGAAAATTAAAGGGTATAAATTAGGCGCAACCAGGGGGCGCCATAATAGGATCTCGCTCCATCCTAAAACTTGCCTCGGGCCGGCACTGCTTATCGCCTCTGGTATTCTCAAATTTTAAAAATTCCTTCTGATTCCAGATTTATTATAACTGATATAAATATGAATATTAAATGATTATTCTTACAACTTCGTCTCAATAGATATTCCTTGTTGGTTAATAATACATATATAAACTGTTTTAAACAAAAGTGCTATTGGTGTAAATCAGAAAACTTTTCTATTCTTCATCTGTTGAAAGACTGCACAGCTATTAAAAAATATCATCAGAAATACCAAATAACAGAAATACTTGGCATGAACCATGATTTAAATTATAT